ACCTTGTCTGCTTACCTTCCTGCTCGCCTCCCGCAGCCTGTCACTTGAGTATTGGCGAGACGAAACCCACGAGCTTGGATAAACCACTAGTCACAAGCGGCTTGTGATCGGCCACTGGTGATCGCGACGCGTAACGCCTTTGAGCGTCAGGAAAAAGCAGTAAAGACTGGAAGTTCGTCATTCCGATATATGTTTTAAAGAGATATTTTAACGGTGTAAAACGAGGCTATCCCGCGTTGCCTAGAGGGCCTCTCCTGGTATATCCTACTCCGGCCTTAGACCACTGCATACAGCCCTCGCTCTCGGTATGGCCGAGGCAAAAGTATGAAGTTGTCGAGTATATATAGATGGCTATTGCGACGAAGAGATTACAGTGCAGAGAGGTCAACAACGAACCCTTTTTGCATTTCTATTCTTTTTGGTACAGTTCTTTTTTTAATGATCAAAGTCCAAACGGGGTGTCAGGCAGTAGCGTAGAATTGGGTCGTCATGGGCGACGGACAACCCTTTCCATTTTCTATCAGGCGTAGTGCGAGTCTCCATTTCCTCTCGGTGTGGGGTTCCCGAGTCTAGGTGAATCGAATTGAAATTTGTTGATAATCGAGTGCACTCTGGCTGCATCACTGCTGACTCGGCCCTTAATCATCTCTCGCATCATCTCTGGTCGCCCACTGCCGAAGTCTTGGCTTCCGGCCATTTATTGTTGGAGCGTCGCTCATCATGCCTTCGCAGTGCACACACATTTCAACCACATACTTGGTCAACTTGCACCTGCATGACGTTATGAGCTCAACCAATCGGTCACTTTGACAGCAGGATGCCGGTTCTTCAATCGCCGTTCAGAAGGAAGAGTTGCGCGCCTCATTGGTAGCAGCATTTCAGAGGGCCTTTACCCAGCGCCTGGGACTCCACAGGCAGCTTGTGCGCCCGATCGGCCTGTAGCGCAGCCGTGTGGCTCATTCCTTGCCCGGCCTTTGAATCAAAGGCCATCGAGCATTGAGCTAAGGTGTCCTACCACGGCTCGCATCCAGCAGATCCGCCTGTTGACCTCGACGGCGTTTGACCATTGACCGATCCTATGAGCAAAAGCGCTTTTGCAAGCATTTTTGTTCATGTTGGCAGGATCTTCTCAGCATCGCGACCTCCACCGCGACGCAGCACGTCAGGACAAGATGGGTGAACTCAGCTTTAACTCATCTTCGCAAGGGTCCACTCGATCTTCAAGCCCTGCGCAGTCTTCCGATAGAACCAGCGTTATCAATGCAGCAGACAATCTCTTGCGGCCACCTCTGGAGGCCAGGGAATGGGACAAGTGGCTGGCAAATTATCAGACAGGCAATTGGCAACGCTTGCAGCTTTCGCGATACGAGGAACTTCCTGCAGGAGATGCGAGCGTGCAAGGAAAGTGGAATGGACCCTGGCAATCGATGACGGACGAGCCCGGCGATATCATTCACTCGCTACGTGAGTTACTTTGCGTCAACATGCCAGCCGCTCTGCAGCTGCCCATATGTTCCCTTGTGCTCCTTTCGCGCAGAAGTCCACAATCGCCATTGCTATCTCCCTTCGCCAGACATTTCGAAGATGAACAAGAAGAAGAGGGTGGCAGCACTGCGACGACATGGCTTTACCAAGCCACATCACCGGCCGCTGTTATCACGGTACACCAAGCACGCTCAGGCTGTGTTCCGAGCGCCTTATGCAGCTCTTTTCGTCGCCTCAACGAATGACCATGATATGCTGGTCTTTTCCCAGGAGGGTGACGTGGACAGCGTCAAGACGGTACCCCGTTTCATGACAATATGCGCCCACGACATGCTGCTCAAAGACGAGGTCCTTGTCGTCCCGGATACCAGAGAAGATTGCCGCTTCGAAAGCCTTCCTTCGACACTTGGAGTCGGCTTCAAGTGCGCCGAGGGCGGAGCGCCGTTCTATTTCTACGCATCTGCGCCTTTAAAGCTCTCAACTCCTTCGATGGACCCGCGAGTGTCAGAGGAGCATGTACTGGTCGGGCGACTGTGCATCCTCGACCACCAACCCAGACAGTTTGGCGAGGCCGACCGCGCACTGTTATCCAACATCGCATCCATGACGTCCGAAGCGCTGGAGAACGAGTTTCGGGGACGTCAGGCTGCCAAAACAAAGCGCATACAGCAGACGATCAGCTTCCTCGCCAGCTCTATCGAAGACCCTGACGTTCTCGAAGAATGCAAGGGCAGCGAGCAGGATCGGCACCCACCACAAGCGAATTCATGCACGGATGACAATGAGGATGTGTCGTCTCAAACCCCCATCTGCAGAATGCGAACACATCTTGTCTGCGACAGCCTGAGACAGACGCTGGGTGCCTCTGCTGGGATTGCAATCGACGTCGCGCCACTCAAAGCCCACAAGTCTTCACGGTGCCGACGCTCAAATCAACATCAAAAGTCGGTGTATCCGCAGATGCCTTGGCTTGCAGAGGGCTCGCCCTCGCAATCTTGTCCTGCGACGCCGCCACCAATGACCGCATCCGGTGGCAGGGTGTTCGGGATGAGTCCTGACTTGGGGACTTCTGGAATCAGCACCTCACCCGAAAGCTCCGCACCACGGCATACCCTGCAGCATACCCGCTCCAGCTCGTCTGGCGCCTGGCTCCCGCATAGGTCCGACGAAGACCCAATCCAGCCGACGATCGACCCCGATCAGTTCCCGCGCTTGCGCGCTTTCGCTGGCCCCTCAAGTGCGCGCGTGGATGTGGAGAACGGGATTGCTGCGCGCGAGTTGCGTGACTTTCTCGTCAATCTTCAGAGCATGCTGACAAATGAGTGGACCTCTGCGCAATTCTACTCGACATGCACCGAAGAAACGCTCCACGAGCAAGAAGGCGAAGACTGCTCGGAGGCAAGCCAGTCAGAGACGTCAACCACTTTGGCGGAGTCGAACCCTCTCGCGTCCATCTTGCCGAAAGACACGGCAATGTACGCGACAGTGCCCATCTTCACAGCCCACGGGTCACAGCCGTTGGTGCTCCTCGTTGTCACCTTCAAGGAGCTGGTTGCGCTGGATACAACAGACCTCCTCTTCCTGAATGCAGCCGGAAGCATCCTGCACGCGTCCATCATGCGCCAACAAGCAGGCGCAACTGAAAAGGCGCAGTTGCGCTTTATCCAAGCAGTGCAACACGAACTGCGCACGCCGCTCCACGGCATTCTGGGGATTACGGAGTTTTTGCGACATTCTGTAGGCAACAAAGCGCTATCAGCCGAAGCGGAGAAGGCGGGACTGTCAGAAGATAGGTTCTTGACTTGTTGCCTGGACATGATCAAACGTGCTGGCTCGGGGCTCTCGTCGCTGCTAGATGATGTGCTCGACTTTGGGCAGGTCTCTGGTGTGCATAGGTCGGACTCTGCCAACAACCAAGATCCTGCACAGGTTATCAATCTTGGCTGGCTAGTGGAAGAGGTCGCAACTGCAGAGCTCGAGAATGCGCGGATGGTAAAGCAGCATCAAGGAGCGTTCCGCATCGATACGGAGGTGAACGTGACGATGCCCGAGATGATCATCGGCATCCAGGACGATATTCGCCAATGGTCATGGGCAGTGCAAGTCAACTCTTTCACCAAGATTCTGCAGAAGATTATCAGCAACGCGCTGCGCTTCACCATGGAGGGCTCAGTTGAGATTGTAGTCGGCCTGTCCCAAGGTCAGCGTAACGGGCAAAAGGAGGCTGGGGAGGAAGAGATTAGCTTGATCATCCAGGACACGGGTGCTGGCATGACGCAAGCCTTTGTGGACGATGGTCTGCTCAACCCGTTCGTCAAGTCCAATTCTTTTATGCCTGGTGCTGGCTTAGGTATGACACTCGCAGCGTCCCACATCAATGCCTTGCGGGGCACTTTGCACGTCTCATCGCACCTGCACAAGGGCACGCGCATCAGTGTCATTCTGCTGGCGCGGCGCATGCAGAAGATCGACGTGCAGCCATTGTGCTTCCGCGTTCAAAATGCGGGGGGCGCGGGCAAGGCGCAGGTCAACTCTGTCTACTTCGTGGGCGTTGATGATACGCACGTGCTGCGCAAGATGCTCCAGCGTTTCTTGCTATCTCGCGATATTCTAGAGGTCAGCGATGTCAAGGACGCTGACCTGGTCGTGATCGAGGGCAGCCACGACACCAAGGACAGGCCGCTCGAATTGCAACATTCTGCCCGTTTAGTCCTACTGCAAAACTCGGCTTTTCTTGCACAGCAAGACCTATCGCGGTTTGATGGACATGCGATGCACGCGATGAAGTCTCCATTTGGGCCGGGAGAGTTGCTACGTCTCGATTCGTTCTTACACGATGCGACGCCGATGATACTCAAACAACCGATACCACCGATACCACCAAAGGCACCCAGTGCGAATGGTGCACCAGCAAAGCACCCGTCAAGCACGCTACAAGTTCCCGACTCCCCCTCAAGAGCTGCAGAATCTGTGCCACACATCTCTAACGTAATCCGAGCAGGCGCGGAGCCTGGCTCCGAGAAGGAATTCAGGGTGCTCGCAGTTGAGGTGTGTCTTCTCGGATAACATTCACCCGCGACCGTTGCTGATAAATGTGCTATACCTAGGACAATCCCATCAACATGAGGCTTCTCACCTCTACCCTAAAAAAGCTGGGCTATATGTATGAGGAAGCCAAAGATGGCGTGGAAGCAGTCGTCAAGTACATCTCCTTCCGCCCTTCTGTCGTCCTCCTCGACATTTCTCTGCCGCGTCAGGATGGATTCGAGGCATGCATGCAGATGCGTCGACACTCGCTCGAGCACACACCACGCATTGTTGCCATCACCGCGCTCTCCTCGCCTCAAGACCAGCAGCGTGGCATCGACATCTGTGGCATGGACGAGTGGCGCACCAAGCCAGTTTCGCCTCGTACTCTCTTTGCGGACCTCCAGCATTGGCATGCGGCTTGGCTCGACGCGCATCTGTCCTCTCTTACTTCAGCAGCGCAGCCAGCTTCCATAGCGCCTCAGGTGTAAAACGCACCTACATCAGCATTTGCCGTCTCATGTTCGATTTTAAGATTTTGGCGCCTGGTTGTTTTGCATCTTCATGGCTCGACAGTACTCTTTTGGTTCAGGGAATTGGCACACAAATTTCCGGCATTGCATGTAATCTGTTGACGGCATTTGGACCCTTTTTTGTTGATATGCTCGACTAAACGGTGACGTCTATTCTTTGAAACTGATGTTTAAATGCTGGCACCGCACACCAAAAATGTGGTTGTGGAGGGTTAACGTTTTCGGCGCAGTGCGCTTTTCGGCTTCTAGCCGTATTTCAGCGCTTTGGCATAACATTATCGGCACGCCAACACAGGCAGGAATGCAGGATTCACCTGTACCACACTGCTTGCATGCCTGCGAACCTATCCTATCTACCCCATGATGAGGCACCGACATGCCACTGCGCTCTTCCAATTCCCCTAAAGACTTAAGAGGACAGAGAGCACGATGTGGTCATGCTATGAAAGTTCTGCTTCTTTCTCAGCGCCCTCACGAAGGACCATGTCCGCGACCGAACGCGCTCTGGCGGATTATGTCGATCGTCGACCCGCAGGACCTGGTCGAACCTGCGGCGCCCGGTTAGGACGGAGCAAACATTGATCCAGTAGCAGAGCATAACTCCTCCGCAAATTGCATCTTTATATCGGCCTGCCTATTGGCATTCTCTTCCTGCTCAGGTTTCCGGACAGAAGCAGCCTAAGTAATGCCATTAGCGCCAACCTGCCCACTGACTTGAACGTGCCTCGCAATGGAGCCAACGCGGGCGACCAGCGGAATCATCGCGTCGTACGTCACTTTCGAGATCCGCAGCTCGCTCCTTTACCAAAGACGGTGTGCACTTGCTTCTCAGCTCTCAAGATTACGCAGGCAAGTATCGCTGATCCGAGGACGACTTCAATTCCAACTAATGCAGTTAGGTGCAAGGGGCATCATCGCCTTTCTAGTCATCGCCTGAGCCTCGCCACTCTTGTCACAAGCTTCATCTCAAGCTATGCGGGACTTATCGCGACCAGAGTGCTGATCGGTGCTGCCAAGTCAGGCTTCGTTCCAATCTTGGCAATCTACCTTGCTGACTTTTATCGGTCCGTGAGCTGTGCGAGCGCTGAAGACATATGGATGCACACATAACCCAATAGCTGCTTCGAGTTGCAGGCGTGAAAAGCTTGGTCTGCGTACGAGCTTTTATTCGGCATTGCGGCTATTTCGGGAGCTTGTGGTGGACTCCTAGCTTATAGTATCTTTCATGAGAGGTCTGATGGTTCAGCTGCATGAATTCGGGAGCTCATCGAAGACGGCTCATCGCAGCTGGACGGCATTGCCGCGAGGTTTGGCTGGCAGCGGCTCTACATCATCGAGGGCATCGTGACCGTTGCCTTTGACATATCGACTAAGCAACCCTTGGATGATTGGCACTGGAGCCCGCATGAGCCATCGATCATCATCGCTCATGCAGTCTTGAACGGCGGGCTGCAGGTCCCAGCGCCGACCACTTGCCTTCAGACGTTGAGTCGGCAGAGTCGAAGTCAAATTAGGCAAAAGCGGTACTTGTTTTCCTCAGGAGTCAACGAGCCTAAACGTTTTCTGCCTCCCCCTTGGCGTGTGACTGTTCCTGCCAGCGGAGCCGATGCCACGGAAGATGCAGCTGGAACGTTGCAAGAAGGCAAATAGAGCCGCGTATTTACAGACGAGTATGAGGCAATGAGTGCCAGGACGCAAATTTATTGGTCAGTCTTGCTATGCACGACTGTGCAAGTTCCTTCACACTCAGCCGCATCATCAGGAGGCGCAGGTTTGCTGATATAGAAGAAAGATGGTTCAGCTTGCTACAAGCTCTGCAGGTTGCCATACCACAGCGTGATTTCTTTGCCGGACCTTCAAGCATCCTTTTTGCCCCAAGTTTTGATCGTCTCGGTCTATCTGTCAAAGTGGACGGCGCGTACATTGACGGTGATGACAAGGATGCAGTCGATACCCATGTGCCTGCCGCAATCTGGGCAGACAAAGGTCGGCTGGCATTTGGCGCCGCAGAGGTATCGGTCTACGAATGCTGTGTGCGGTTTCAAGTCTGGTCTGCGTGGGAGCGGCAGCAGCCCTGCTTCTGCTGTAGTTGTTCGTGACTCTCCCGGCTCGCTGGCTTTGAGGTCTGTCAGGGAGAACATGTGGCGCGGCGTGTGGCTAGGAGCGCAGTCGGAGGACAGGCAAGTTTCTCGGTGTCGATCAGGTCATTGGTAAGAGATCGAAAAGATAATCCGAGACGGAGATACAGCAACAGGTAGCCGCTCAGAGCACATATCGTACATGCATTCATTCACGGCGTGAGCAAGATCGCCAAAGATGGCATGGCACAGCGTGAACGCAAAGCGGCCACAGTGCCATCCGCTGTGTGGGACTTGAGTTTTTGTTCGGTCTCCTGCTAGTCTGAGTGGTAATACCAGGCGTTCAAGATGGGGAGCGCCTTGTCGCACGACTTGCCGGCGACAGAAGTCTCGTCGTGACTGGCAATGAGGACAATGAAGGCAAAGATGCTGAGTTTCGACGGAGAAACCGGAGAAAGGACGTCGGTGTTGACTGTTTCGGCTGCAGGACATATATGGTTATACGATGATTCCAAATTCCAAAACCATGACTACCTCTGAGTAGCATATTCGCATGCACGCTGCCCAAGCAGCGTCACCTCCGTCACACTCCAAGCGCAAAATGCGCAGCCTTCCAAGCCATCACCACCGCGAGGATGCTGCGGAGGCTTCGGCTGCTTTTCGCGGCGACTGCAAAGCGAGGTGCACAATCCAGAAATACCATATCGTCCTCCTCCTCTGCCCCTTCATGGACACCGCCGCATCACTCCAAACCGGGCCATGCCAGCAGACAGCATGACATGCCTTGTGCGTGTTGGCTCCAGACTCTGAGCTCAACCCCTCATCGCATATCGTCCAGTCATCTCCTCCGTTTTGGCAGCGGCGTGTTCCGAGTTCCGCGTCCCGCACCTTCTGAGTTCTCATCGTCGTTGTCGCCAACACAATCTCATCATATGCATCCTCATTGTCGTTCATATTGGACGTCCATCACGGACAGCGATATAGGACCGCAGGCAGAGCCACATTGGTCAACGCAGGAAGGAGCAATACAGCGAGCAGTTGAAGCAGCAGCTGCAGCAGAAGCCGCCAAGATGAGGAAGGCAAATGTCTTTAGCCATGATCCAAAGGCCATCATTCCGAGGATGGTACGTTCCTTCTTGCGAACGTGTAGCAGCTGTGGGTGCTTACCCGTTTCCTTTCTTGACTCACGCCTCCAGTCCTGGTCCAAGGAGAACCTGTACAATTTGCTGCTGCGATCCACAAACCCATTCCACATGGGAGCTCTCAACTTCAATCGCACCGCGCTGACCATGTACCAGCAACGATGGCGCTCTAAGCGTTTTCTCCGAGGCTACCACGGAGACTGGATCCCAGAGCGTAGATTCAAGCGGTGGCTCGTCCCCGATCGTCTGCCACGCTTCGACCAGCGCAGCAGCTTGTCTGCTTTGGTTGCCGATCGAGGAGCAAATCGGCCGGGCCTCCGGGCATCCTCGGCAGGCGCATCAGTAGGAGGCAGCAGGTTGCCATTCACACGCTCGCGCATCCTCACCCAAGCGCTTGCGAGCGCAGGTCGAGAGATCGGCGCAGAGGAGCGAATGCCCACCGCTAGCTTGTTCGTGCGTGACGTGGAACGCAGACTGGACGTCGTCCTCTTTCGCTGCTGCTTTGCCGTATCAGCCTACCAGGCCAGAGCAGCTATCGTGCAGGGTCATGTCAAGCTCAATGGGTTCAAGGTGAGTGATCAAAAGCCACATCTTTCCCTCCATTCTTCTGATCATCCCCCCACCCTTCTTTCGCAAAACAAAGGTAACAGACCCAAACAAGCTGCTCGAGCCCGGTGACCTCCTCTCCATCACCCCAACAGCCATCCCAATGCTCGAACCAAAAAAGGCAGCACGAATCCGGGCGCAGATCATAAAGCGGCGCAACAAGTCATGGAAGCGAATTCTTTTGAAGCTCCAAGCTGAAAGACAATCCAAAGAGTCCACAGAGGCGGCGTACGCGTCGGCTGCTGGGGCTGTGACTGAGTCCAAGGCGGAGGCAGTATCGGGTTCGGTGGCTGCTTCAGAGAGCGAATCACAGAAAGTCGCACCTCAAGATGAAGCCGCGCCTACTCAAAAAGAGCCGATAGATGTTGCTGCAGATCAGGTGGAGGGTGGAGCGTCTAGGCGAGCAGCAACCTCTTCATCACCGTCGTCTTCATCCCCTGAAGCCTCTTCGGATTCCAAGGGAGGTGCCGAGTCAACCGATCGCAGCGGAGTACGCAAAGGCAAGAAGAAGAGCCCCCCCCTTCCACCCGGCGTCTTGTTCTTCCGATTACCTCAATATGCCGCTCCCTTCCTCTTCATCCCGCCGTATCTGGAGGTATCCTTCAGCACCTGCTCCGCCATCTACCTTCGTCATCCAACTATCGTTCCTGCCGCGCCGTCCGCCCGTCAGCAACTAGCGGAGCAGCAGAGCGCAGACCAGGAGAAGGAAAATAGCAGCGGCTCACGTCGAGCTTCCTCTCCGCCATCCAACGTCATGTACCGCACCGACATCGCATCGCCGTACCCAGCTGGTGGCGATATGTACAGTATGGCCTGGGAGCACTACGCACGTGACGCCCCGCGCACGCGCTCCGATGTTCGGCGCATCAAAGTCGAGGCTGCGCATGGGCGCAACGGGTTCGAGAGTGCCAGAGCCAAGGATGCCTACAAGACTGTCCGCGCGCTGAGGCGGGGCAAGACCGCTGCTGCTGCTCGTGCATAGTACATTAGCGCATCGTGCATAGTGTTAACGCCCAAAATTGCATGCTTGCCACGGTATCTTGCGTGCTAGTCTGTGCTAGAGTATATACAAAGAGAGTGTGTGCAGGCATTGGATATGCGATCCGACGATTCGGCTCGCTTGTGCTCGCCCTCAGAGCTCGTCTCGATGGGGTTTGGCAGCCTGCGCATCTCCCGCACCCGCCTTGGCTGGATCCGCAGCTTCTGCAGCGGGCGGGAAGCAGATCGCCGGCGTGGACACCGTCATCGAGTAGATGCACTTTTCTGCTTCGAACACGTCCAGTAGGCCATTCTTGGTGTCGCAAACGAGATTGACCTGTGCACGCGAGGGTAGGCCCCAAATCAATCAGTTCCGAGATCCTTGGCACCCGCTGCGCAGAGCACACTCACAAAGACACTTCGATCTGGACCGTTCCAGCACCGCTGTCCATTGTCGTATATTGCAGTGCTGTAGTATTCGTCCTGGTCTGGCGAGCTGTTATTCTCTGGGTTGAACCTGTTGAATGAGCTATGATAGTAAAGGAGGGGTGGTGAGAGCCCGAGAGGGAAACGTTAGGGGCCACGTCCACTCAAAAGTGGACGCCGCAAAGGTCACGCCTAAACTTACCCAAGGCTGACATGCGCACCATTGCGCGGCTTCTGTGTCGCGCGACCGCCAAAGCAAAACTCGTAGACGTACTCGGCGATGGGGCGCTCGACGCACGTACCTTCCAACGATTTGAACTCTCCTTCGCGGCCGAACTTTTCCGGTGAGAGGCCCACTCCTGCCTGCTTGGTCGCCAGCTCGCTCTCCAGCCGCCGGACTTCACTGGTATCTTTGTTGTATGCTTCGCGGGCGCGAGATACGTCTTCACGTGACAGGGAGAGCAGGTACTCAATTGGGTGCCTTGTCGCGATGCATCAGAGCTCCTCAACCGGTGACTCACTTTCTGGCACAATATCAGCACTGGCACCCGCTGGTCTGACGCGCTTGACGCTAGAAATGATGTTGGCCTTCAGCAGGAGGTCGAGAAGGGTATCAACAAATGCTTCGAAGTAGGGCACGACCGAGTCTGGGAGGTACTCGTGGATGCGGAAAACTATGCGTGCCAAGTCCGTTACGGCACGCCGGAAGGGAGAGTCCACGGTCAGGCCCAGGAAAAGAATATCGGGACACCAGCAGGGACTCACGCAATCCAGCATCGTGCCCAGCCTTTTCGCCGGAATCGATGCCGTCCATGAGTTCGAGCACATCCTGATCCGCCAGCTCGAACACTTTGTCTACCGGCCACTCTCCCGGGTTCTTGAGCCTCTCCAGCCGGGCAGCCGGCTCGTCTGCGAGCCCGCCTGCGTGACCCTCTGAGGGTGCCTCGTCTCCGGCAGCATCGGGAGCACCGCCGCCTGCATTGTCCCTCCGCCAAGAAGCGTAGGCCATGACGGCGCCCTTGACAGCCATATCTTGATAATTGGGATTGTATCCTTTTGCGAGGTCGTCGAGCAGGTTGGTCAGCTGTTCTAGCTCCTGGGTCAATTCCGAATTGCGGGTGGACAAGGCGTGTAAAGCCGACTGGAATTGGGTGAGGGTGCCGTACAGGGCTACGTGAGGATACAAGGGCAAAAATTCCAGCAATACTTTCATCAGCTGATACACGCACACACGAGGCAGCCACCTGAGATTGAATGGTACGCACGCATGGCTTTCTTGCGCGCTGTCGTCTCCTTATCTGCATTCTCTGCATACTCTAACGCCGCTTTGGACTTGGCCTCGGCGTCTCTGGCGCGAGCGAGCGCATCCGTCAGCTTGGCAGCGTCTGCTTGCAATGCGCTGACCTTCTTCTTGGCGTCACTAATGTATTTTGCACGGATTTTAGCGCCAGCCCTGCGCGTGTTCTCCTGTTGGGCCATGTGGTTGCGGTACTCTTTCCCCATTTTGCCGCACGTGTCGGGACACTGAACTTTTGCATCGTACTCGTCCGAGCCGTCGCAGCACTCTGGATCGCAGATACCGTCGTTGACTCGGCTGGACAGGATGTAAGCAGGAATGTGACCCTCATTGGCACAATAGAAGCGAGCGTTGTTGCATGCGGAGGTTCCTGGCTCGTCACTGCCGTCGGCACAATCGCAGTAGTCGTCGTTGATTGCAACGTGAGGGATCTCTTCTCCCGTGGTCAAGCACTGCCACCTGTCAGTCGTTCCAAGCTTGGGCGCATACTTGGCTACGTCTGTAGTTGGACCAAGTGAAAAGACGTAAATGAGCCTAGTGTACATTGGGCAGCTCCTCCCACTCCCGTTAACTCACCTTGGGGAGCGACGCCTCTAGGCGCGAGTGATCCTGCCGCAGTGGGAGGGATAGAGGAAGCAGCGAGAAGGAGGGCTACGGTTGCTGCAGCCGGCGCAAAGACCAGCGCAGCCGTCGCGGCCCTTCCTCTTTTTGAAGTCGCCTTGCTCTTCCTCATTTCTTAAAGACGATGGCTTGGCGAACGTCGAGCAAGCCTCTGCGCCTGCCCAGCGATCACGTTACGCTATCGCTGGTGAGCCTGCAGTGATGACGCGGAAACAAAGTGGCTGCGTCAGCCACCTGTGGCGGCTTGCAGACTTGTATTCGAGCAAGAAACAGGCGAGCGAGCGAGCAATCGGCAAAATCGAAGCTTGTCCCTTGTCCAGTTGTGCCATGGTTGTGCTCGGTGTTTGGGAGGTCGGTCCTATTCGTCGGCGGTCTCTCGCTCATATTCCCTCTCCTTGAGGTTCTCATGCGCCACTGGAGGTTTAACCCTAAGTAGGGGCATCTGGCAGTTGCACCAAAGCCCATCACTCTTCACTATCCGTGAATTTGCGAGGCCCGATCATACATGTTGAAGCATGCGGATAAGTATCGTGTTTATGGTCGTCATCTGACCCCTGCATACCTCGCTAACAACTCGTTCAGGAGGCTCTCGTGTCATCGAACGATAGAAAGTTTGCTGTTCGATGCCCTAGGCAAGACCAGGCTGGGTCACTTCGTCAAATATGTAAAGAAAGCCGTGGTAAATTACATCAAATGCTTTCCGTTCTTCTTGCCGCTGCTTCCTGTTCCCACAGCTTGTTGTCTCCTGCTCCTGAATCGCGCACGACCACTTCATGCGACCGATTCAGAACTTACGGATCGCCCTCCCACAACGACACAAGAGACTTTTTTCTTCCTTGGAAATGATGGTCCACAAGTGATCGGTCGTAAGCTCATCTCCATCTTCTATATGTTCTTATGAAACGATGAACGGCGGTCAATCTCCCGCTTGACGTAGCAATTCGGAGCGCATCAATGCAAAAGCATGCAAGCCTCATTGCCGCTACGCGCACACTTGTATACCTATCTTCGCTCACTAATCAATTGCATGACCCCGTTCGTATTTGACAGCGACAGAAAAGCCGAATGGCCGATTCTTTCGCTGCCAGGGGCTCACTTTTTGGCAGGCAGGTCGGGACCGAAGAGGACAGTGCCGGAAGCAGAGGGACTAATGGATTAGAGATGAGACCTTTCTGGATAATGACTGCAGTGAGTTCATTGTGGACTAAATACATTGAGGGAATGCGATGATATGCGTGTGACGACTATTTCTGCGATGCGAGAAAGGTATTGCACATATACAATATATGCCGCACATATCAAACATGGATGTTGATTGACGGTTGCTGAGCCGGATCTGTGTCTGCTACAGTCGCCGCTTTGGCCGAACGCTTCTACGGCCGCTCCTGCTGACGACCGGGGGTCGGTAGGTGACACTCGCCTTTGCATTCCACGATGTTCCTGCGAGCCTGAATCTGAGCAGAGGTTATGAGACCGGTCCCCACTCCACTCGCCCATCATCGATAGCTTTAAGCTTCTGTAATCAAGCTTGCATGCTTTCGCGAGCGGGACTTGCGGGAGGGACCTCGTCCTTGTGAGTGAAAAAACGGATGGAATGTCTCGGCCGAGAAGAGAAGAAAAACGTTGACCCAGACCAACACCACGAACGCAATCAAAGCAATCTCGTCCGTCGGGGTTGATACGGGGAGATGTGGATATATAGTAGGGAGGTCAAGGTGCATGAGTTAAACGGGAAAATGAACAGCTGCCCATCATCCACAACCTTGCAATTAACCTGAGCACCAGTCCGAAAGTGCGCAGAACGGCAGCCAGAATTGGCCCCGTTGGTGATTTGGCACCATGGCATCTACAGCCTCCTCTTCCTTAGAGGTCCAGTCCTCCGCGCAGGCTGCTGTCTTTGTGCCGTCGCAGCCCATAAATCCTGCTGAGTCGGTTCAGGTACGCGGGCCCGACTTCAACGCCCCCCAGACGCTCGATTCTTTACTCGCTTCCTTCAGCAGCGTCGGCTTCCAAGCGACCGAGCTCGGGAAAGCCATCGAGCTCGTACGAGAGATGCAGAGCTGGCGATTGGCCCATGAGCCGGTGCAGCCAGAGACCGAACCGGACGAACATCTGGACCCCGTCACCCGCAGCAATTACAAATGTCGCATCTTTCTGGGCTACACGTCAAATCTCATCTCCTCCGGCTTGCGCGACGTGATTCGCTACCTGGTCCAGCATAAGCACGTCTCCGCCATCGTCACCACCGCCGGAGGCGTTGAGGAGGATATTATCAAGTGCCTAGGACCCACCTACCTCGGAAACTTTGCTGCACCCGGCGCAGACTTGCGCAAGCGAGGTTTGAACCGAATAGGAAACCTGATCGTGCCCAACGACAATTACTGCAAGTTCGAAGACTGGCTCATGCCCATCCTTGACAAGATGCGCGACGAGCAGGGTGACCACGTGGATAATGTCTGGACACCCAGCGCCATATGCCGGCGACTAGGGCAAGAGATCGATGACGAATCGAGCGTGCTCTATTGGGCAGCTAAGAATGCTATTCCAGTCTTTTGCCCTGCCTTGACCGACGGCTCACTAGGCGACATGCTTTACTTTCACTCGTACAAGAATCCAGGGCTCGTGGTCGATCTGGTCAAGGACATTCGAAAGCTGAATGATCTAAGCGTGAAGGCCAGAAAAGCCGGGATCATTATTCTCGGTGGCGGCGTGTGCAAGCACCAAATAGCCAATGCCATGCTCTTTGTGAGTTTCAGTCGAAATGACGGTTGGCTTGTCGCATAGAAGACTGCTCGCTTACCAGTCGAGTTCCGTCGCCCTCCTAGAGAAATGGCGCAGACTATGCAGTCTTTATCAACACCGGACAGGAATTCGATGGTTCTGACAGCGGTGCACGTCCTGATGAAGCAGTGAGCTGGGGAAAGATCAAGAGTGCTGAACGAGGAGGCAAGTGTATCAAGGTGAGGCAAAAGCTGCAGTGGCGGCTTGCCATCCCCGCACGCCTTTATGATGACCGGAAACCACTCGCACTTTACCAGGTCTCTTGCGATGCTTCCATAGCTTTCCCATTATTAGTAGCCGCTACGTGAGTCATGGCACGTAAACGAAGTCCATTTACCTCCACTGAAGCGCTTCCATCTCCTGTGGGTGTGGGGTTGCAGATTTGCAAACGCTCAAAGCAATGCAAAATGAAAGCCAGAAACAAATGACTTAAGGGCATTCGCAGATGGGGTTTAGAGCTACATGCATCGTCTAGCGATTTTCTTTGCGCATTCATTGCTGCTGGGGTTGCGGTGGAGGCGGATACTGATACATCGCGTACGGCGCCGGCGCATATTGTCCATAGATGGGCACACTCGATAGTCCGCCTGGCACGCCAAGTGGCGGCTGCTGGAACGGCGCACCCTGTTGCTGCTGCTGCGACTGCTGCTGCTGTGACGGTGGCGGCTGCTGGGCGTAGTGTGTATATCCCGTCGGTACTGTTGGCGGTGGCGCTGCATGATAAGCAGGGTGAGGATACGCTCCCGCTGGAAGTGGCTGTGCTCCCGTTCCTCCCAGGGGGTCGTATGGATGCGCTCCGTGCGGCGGCAGCGGCGCTCCCGGTGCTGGCGGAGGCATGTAGTATCTTCCGTAAGTTGGTTGATACACCGCAGATGGCGCTGAGGCGACAGGCAAGCCTGGCGTGCCCGTTGGAGGCGGCGGTGGGGCATACATGTGATGTGTAGGATACGCGCCGGCAACAGGGGGTGGAGGCATGTAGTGAGCTTGAGCAGGTGGTGGGGGTGCATATTGGGGCTGGGGCGGACCTGTCGCTGGCAGAGGCCGCGGAGCGGGAGACGCGCTGTGAGAAGGAGGCCCTGATGGAGCTGGAGCTGGAGTGCGCAAGACTTGATATGCCGATGAGGGCGGCGGCTGTTGCTGCTGCTGATCGCCGGTCGCGGGGATTTGAGCTGAAGACGCAAGACTCGGTAGACCAGCGATGCTTTGGTACAATGCTCTGCAGCAGCGGCAAGGAGAAGAGCTAGAATGAGCGTTTCCATCGACAGTCAAATCAAAAGACCACTCACTGAGCATTGATCACAGATGGTACCGGCGCGACCACGCAACAAGAACCATCAGACGATCCTGAGGGAACAGGCGGAAGTGTGTGGAAGCTACTCGACCCGGGGATAGGAGTGCTCGAGGTCGAGGGGCCATTGTGAGATCCATCGTTGGAAGGTTGCGGCGTGGGTGGCGCAGGCAGGTTCATCATGGGCAATGCACCCTGGAAAGCATTGTATGCGCCAGGATGCTGGGGATTGTGGTAAATGAAAGACTGGGGGAGGGACGATGGCGGAGCGCAGACCAGGGGTGCACCACCCCCAGCGGCAGCCGCCGAAGGTGTCGTCGGCCGCGGAGACGAATCTCTAGGAGGCGGCAGTGGCTTGTCGGGCTTGATGGTCATTGTCGACATGGTTTGCGCCAACTGGTCTGAGGGATCGTACGTAACCGAAGATTGCGACTGATGCGCCCTTCCTGGCGCACTAGATGATCCCGGATCCATGTAGTACCTGCTGGGAATCTGAGCTTGGCTAGATGCAGGGCCCCACGAACCAGACATGGAGGCGGATGTCGAAATAGAGGCGGTCGAGGTCTCTTGGCGGAGATGCGCATGACCTTGGTTGAATTTTTGCTGATCAATGTATACGGAGGCATTTGGGGGGGTTGGACTTGCGGTTCTCCCTAGACTCGGGGGTGCGTATGGCGGGTTGTAAGCATCGAGGTTGGCCAACGAACTGCTTGGACGTAGTGTCGAGGGGATGTCCGCCAAAGATTGTGACTGCGGCACTCTATGGAGATTTGTGTGCGTCTGAGACGCAGGTATGCGCCCTGCAGAGCCGGTTTTGCCAAACTCGGAATATTCCGAGCTTTGCGAATCATTTTGCGGGCGAATGTGCGAAGGAATGCTAGGATGTGTCTTGCGGTTAGGGCGCAAACATTCGTCTACGTCGTCACTGAAGGTGCCGGCTCCGCCATAGGTATCGGTACCAGACAGCGTTGGCGCTACATGCTTGTTTTTCTTGGGTGGTGCAGCCTGTATGTGTACCAGAGGCAGTATCAACGCTTTGAACTGTAGGAGTGTCTCACGCTAAGTGAAAACTTACAGCGGAGTAGAAGGTGAGTTCAAGATAGACCTCTCCGGCATAGCGATCTTTTGACTTGATCGAGACCCATTCTATTTGATGGCCGGGGTCCATGTCAGCAACATTCTCCCTGTGCGAGGAAAAGAAGTCGACCGCACTGACCATCAAATTCGCCCGTCTTAAGCGTATCAGTCAGGTCGACGATCCCTTCGCCGATGAGCTCTGGGTCTCTGGCGTCGTCTGCGTAGCACGAGACCTTCAGCACCTTGGGAGTTTTTCTGGACGCCTTGGCAGTGCCATCTCCATTCTTTGACCAAGAGTCTAGCTTGGTGGAATCTTCCATGTCATCGTAGATCTCAAAGTGCAACTGCTCATCCCATGTCGGGTGCTGCCCGCCCCTTTTGTCTGGCTGCGTTTTCTGTTGCTCTGCGGCCAGCTGCAACACGCAATAAGGATCCTGCTTCCCGATAGAGCGCTTGTTTGGCAGGTTTTTCTTCCGTGACGGATGGCATGAAGGGTCAGTGACACAAGCACACGCCTCGTCTCTCTCCACGTGTTGACTCACAGCCTTGAGGACGACGCAGACAAGAGTGCCTCGGTGGGTAGTGTCATTGTGGGCACTCATGATGCCAGTGCTTTTTCAACTCTTCCTTCACCTCGGCCCAGGTCGATCCGCTACGAGAAGCTGCAATGTACTGAGGAGAGCCTCCAATAGATCATAGCCAACGCGTGCTTGTCCGCACGCACGCTCTTGAGCCGCTCGGCTTGGAAGAGCACGCGCGCCTAGCCCGCGGCGGCTTTCGTAGACTCTGGCAGCAGTCCAAAGGGGGAATATTTGATCAGGACAGTTCCCAGTTAGCCTTAGATGAAGCTGAGCATGGTATCCTGCTGCTGCGACCTCGAGAAGAAGGGAGGAGATATATGTTGAGGTCAACAGTAGAGTGAAGGCCAACCAGCAGAGAGCCGAGCGTTGGACTGGTGCGCGAGCATGGAGTCGCGGAGACTAGCCTGATGTGATGGTGGAATCCCCCACGCGTTTGATTCAAGTCCACAGATGCGTCTCTATCATCCATTCCCCTTCCCATCATCTAACACCAATGTCAATTCAGACCTTCTTCCTCTTCCTCATCGTTGCCCTTGGGACAGCACGGTGACATCGCTTGCCGACGCTGCACGCGGCCAGTGGTCAGAACCATTCCTCATTATCCTTCGCTGCGGGCGCTAAAGTGAGCATTGAACGAACCCCGGTGCGCAACGACTTCGATATCCAGCCATCGACCCGCCACCATGTTTGGTCGTCTGTTTCATCTTCTGGTCGACGCCGTACTGGTTAGCGTCGCCCTGAGTGGCGTTAAGCGTGCAGCTGGCCTGACCCCAGTGGTGGGAAGGATCCCGTCCAAGGATCTTAGAAATGTCGTCAAGATCTATCTGGAGACTGGCGAATGGGTGTGTGTGGATGTGTGAGGCTTGATTAGTTGCATGTGACTCCTGACGCACTGGATGCTGGCTGCAGATCATGGACTTTTCAATGGTCTTCATGAGCCGATCAAGATACTTTGAAAGGGTTCAATAAACGCTCGCTGGCCTGCATTGTCTGATTGATCCCAAATACGTATCCGTCACCGCACCTGGTCAATCAAAGTGGCTCTCGAACTGGACAATATTTGGCACGCCAGAGCCCAGTTCAATTATTGGATCGCGAAGCTCCTCTCCCCCCTCCTTGCCTCAAGTCCAGAATCCAGTCTCAGGCGCACCCTTGTTCGCTCCGGCAACTAAGATGGCTCGCTTGCTTCGCAAGGACGACCGAAAGAGTAGAGTCAGAGCGTCGGTAAGCACGTCACAGTTCCACAGAGCCAATAGCGGCCCCCTTCTGTGCATGGAACAGACAGTTGAATGCGCAATAATACAGATGCAATGCTAATGGAATCAATTTCGAATAGAGAGGTCTACCTGATGCAGTTGTGCACGATGGACGGGTGTTGCCGGAGGAATCGCAAGCCATGGCCCACAAACAGGCTTGCTGGAGTATGAACTCCCAGCTCCTATGCTGACGCAAATCTGGTAGATTACTGGGGCCGGCTGTTGTTGTTGTTTTTTCTCCTCGTGATGCTTTCACATTTTAGGTGGATGGGTGGTGGTGGGTATCTGTCGCAAGCGTGTTGAATGCATCTATGCGTCCAGATTTCCTTTTTTGGGCCATAAGCAGCAGGGTGTCGGTTGCCTTGCACAAGGGGCAGCCTTAGGCGCTGAGCTTCTTTGGCTGTTCCCAGCTGAACTCCGAGCGACCAAAATGACCGCCGGCGGCGGTCTTACGGTAGATCGGCTTTTGCAGGCCGAGGTCGCGAACAATGACACCAGGCTTCAGGTTGAAGTTCTTGCGGATGATCTCGACAAGCTCGGCGTCCGTCTTGGAGGACGTCCCGTATGAGTCACAGAAGACCGAAAGGGGCTCGGCCACACTGTGAGAGAGAGGGAGACAGAGAGAAAGGGGGGATGGTTTTCCATGAGCAACTCGCTGAACGCGTAAGTGGGGGAACTACACGAGACGCACCCAATGGCGTACGACAGCTGCACAAGGACGCGGCGGGCCAAGCC